CGGAGCACGTTCATTGCAGTTTCATCACAGACTGGAGAAGCGATAGGGTCCAGACCCGTCTCGACCCTTCCAGTTTCCTCGTTGAAGTCTTGACAGAATTCTGCAGCAAAAATTAGTCAGTCGACCGAGCATAATCCGATCACAAGCATCAACACAAGCGGTTTAGAAGAAATACGTCCCAACGCGAGATAGAGCTTCTTGGCAAGAGTCCTCAGATAAGCTGCCGTGTCATTCCTCTTGCGGATTGCAGATTCCAACTTGTCATTCAGGACAACCTTGTCTTTCTTCAAACCGGTCACTTCGCGGTTAGCTGCATTAAGACAAGATTTCAGTTTGTTCACCTCTCCTTCCAGCATTTCGAATGAAGCAAGCTTCTGGTCTGCGAGAGCAGTTTTATCTTGGGCTGCTTTTTGCGCAGCGGCGAGGTCCGCGTCCTTCTTCTCCAGAGCCAACTTCATTTTCTCTACAAAAGGAACAATCGAATCAAAAAACAGATCAAAGAAATGTATTGAAAGTCAGTCGACAGTCGGTTACCTTCCATACCAGCGGCTTCATCTTGAGCTTTCTTCAGATTCTGCTGGGCTAATTCCAAGTCGAGGTTGAGTTGCCTCTGCTTCTCCTCAAGTTCAGCAAACTTAGAAATCAGAGTACAAGATTTCTGCAGAAGGCAAAAGATGGATCAGTCGATAAGATCAAAGGTTGTTTACCTCCGAGTGAATTAAACCTAAAAGAAGTTCGCTAGACCCCAGCCGACTGCACACAGTCGACTGCGGTCTCAGGGGCTACACCCAGCGAGTGCACTTGGCGTGCCCCCGCTGACAAAAAAATGTGTTCAGACCCCAGTCGACTGCCATCAGTCGACCGCGTTCTCGGGGACTACACCCAGTGGGTGCACTTAGCGTGCCCCCACTGGTTCGGATCCTACTCGACCGGTCCGCCTGAGTCAAGTGAAAGGAGTAAAAAAGAAAGGAAAGAAGAACTCAGACTCCAGTCGACTGCCAGCAGTCGACCATGGTCTCGGGGACTACACCCAGTGGGTGCACTTAACGTGCCCCCACCGGTTCAGATCCCACTCGCCCAGACCGAGTGGAAGAATGAAACTACCTAGAATAACAAAACACCCAATGGGTGCTCTAATTCGACGCAAACAACATCAAGTCGTGTAGAAGAAGATTTTTCGAGTAACAGTTCCTCATAGAGCAAAAACAGTCGGAAAATCTACTCACCTGGACATTGGCCCGAAGACCAGCGCTGGCGTCATAGGCAGCCTGGCTGTTCTCATGCATTGTCTTCACCCGCTCCATCATCATGTCAGCTTGTCGGATGGCTTCCGCAGCCGCTTCCGACTGGTTGTCCGGGACGGGGTAGCTGGTGAAAAAGTGAGCAGACGGCCCAGGTGCGACGGCTTGGAGCTCTGGGGCGTGGAGTTGGATAGCCAAAGGAATCACAGGAGCAGTCGACAGTGCAGGATGCCCACTCGACAAGGGCGCAGTGAAGGTCACAGAGGCCCTGCCCGCGTCTTCAGGATGACGGACGGGAGGTGTTGAAGTTGGTTCTTGCTGAGCCATCCTGCCAACTGCTACCTTCTTTCTCTTCTTGGGCTTAAGAGCCACATCTTCATCGTCATCTGGAAGATCAATGATGTTGGGTGGAGCTGCAAGGCAGGTCATTCGATCCCAAGTGAATCACTAGAACGCAATCGACCAAAGAATCAAGAGCAAAATCGCAAGAGTTGATACCTGGGTTGGAGGTTACCGCATCTTCCATTTCCTCGTCCCGGTACTAGAAAGAAGAGGTTCCTGACGTAGCAGCACTGCAAAGACCCGCATTCAATCGGTTACGTCTGGTTAATTGAGTCGACGAAAAAGACAAGTCAGATGGTTACCCGGAGACAGTAGGAAAGGTCACTTTAATCCTAGGCAAAGCTTTTGGCGGCTCGGAGGAGGTGGCTTTCGCGCTTTCGGTGCTGGAGACGGCACAACTTTGGACTGCTTTGGAGCCTTTTCAGTCGGCATCGGGGAAGACGTCCTAGGACGCTTCGAAGACTAGCCAGTCGGTGCGGTCACCAAGTCCAGAACACTCGCCGGGTCGTGGGCTTGTTTGGATCTCCTCTCCCTGTGAGGAGGCGAGTCGACTTCTTCGTCAATAGATTCGTCGCTCTCCTCGTCTTCCTCAGCCTCCGAATGCTCCTCGCCGCTCTCGCCACCGCTCCCTTCTTCCTCAGCCCCTTGGTCCTGCACCCCGTTGGGCATTGAGTACATCTCGATGAGGGCCTGAAAAGACAACGATCAAAGGAAATTCAATCGACCATAAACAAGATATCACTCGGTGAATTGGAAAAATACTTGATAAGACAGAATTATACCTGCTCCGGCTGGTGGGAGTTGTCGAATGGGATCACCCTCCTAGACCCCCGAGGGTTGTCTTTGTTGCTGGTGATCCCCATCAACCACTTCTCCAAGGTATCCTCAGTGACGTCCTCTGGGTAGATTTGAGTGGAATCCTCGAGCCCAGAGTACATCCACATCAGATGATCGCACGCCTGAAGAGGTTGGATGCGTCGACCGAGAAAGACCTCCAGCAGGTCCATCCCGGTCACCCCGTCGCGGACAAGCTGGACGACCCGCTCGACCAGCACCTTGACCTGCGCCTTCTCTTCTGGAACTACCTTCAGGGGAGCGGGCTTCTCCACTCGAGCCAAAGAAAAAGGAGGAAGTCCAGTCGACTGGCCCGGGGTCGGCTGGTCCATGCAGTAGAACCAAGTCGACTGCCAGCCCCGAACCGAGTCGGGAAGAATCATGGCTGGGAAAGTGCTCTTGCTCCTCATCTGGATCCCCAGACCCCCGCACATCTGGATCACCTGTGTCTTCTCGTCACTCGACTTGGCCTTTTTGACCGACTGGGATCGGTACGTGAAGATGTGTTTGAAAAGACCCTAGTGCGGTCGACAACCCAGGAAGTTTTCGCACATAGACACAAAAGCGGCCAGATAGACTATGCTGTTGGGAGTGAAATGGTGGAGTCGAGCCCCAAAGAAGTTCAAAAAACCCCGGAAGAAAGGATGGGGGGCAGTGAAAATCCGCGATCCACGTGGGTGGCGAGGAGAACACACCCACCCTCCCTCGGCTGCGGCTCGGTTTCGTTCCCCGGGAGCCGTGTCGACTTGTGGGGGATCAGTCCCCCCTCCACCAGGTCGTCGAGGTCGTCCTGCGTGATTATCGAGCGGATCCAGTCGCCCTGGATCCAGCCCGCCGGCAGGCCGGACCTCGACGATGATCCGCCCCGGCTGGTCCGCTTGCCCTTCGCCTTCGTTGTCGCCTTCTTCGCGCGTTCCAGCGCCACCGTCCTCTCCTTCCCCATGGCGGCGGGTCGAGCTCGAGCGAAGGTCCGGCGACAAGGGTGGAAGCGAGCGTGGCGGGGAGATTGAGAGAAGAAGAAGAAGAAAGAATGGGAGCGCACGGGGCAGAGGCCTAGTCCGAGGCCTTTTATAAGGTCGTCATCCGAGTGACTGACTGGTGGACCCAGGCGATCTAAAAAAATCCCGCAACAGTCGTGCGTGCAATACGTGGTGAAAAAGGTGGCACGGGGATCGAGGAGACTTGCCTAATCCGTCCCGATAACCTCGGTTCCATCCGTCTGGCGCGCTTCCCAAAATTCGAATCCCGCAAGATTCGCGAGTGCAGAACAACCTGTCAGACTGAAGACAAACTTCCTCTACATCATCATTCGGAATCCTACCGTGAAAACTCACTCGAGAAAAACCAAGAATGGACCAAGGCGACTGAGAAAGGAGTCGACGTCCTCACCTCAACTCATTGTTCCAGAATGAGATACACTCGTAACACAGAGAATGGGTCAGAAGTGTCCCCAACTCTTTCCCCACTCAAACCCTGATCCATTCGGGGGCTACTGATGAAGCTATGTACCTAGGGTAGGGTCATGGATCTGTCCAGCATACCCTCCCCAAGGACATCTCTGCAAAGAATCAGAAGCGGTCGAAGAGAAAACATCATCCACTCGACCTTGAAGATGTGCTCACTCGACTCCCTTGAAGACACTCGACCACCTTGAAGACACTCGACCATCAGAAGATGAGAAGCCCTCCACTCTGCAACGGTCGTGACTTAAACCATAGCTTTATGGGCATTTATAACACTTTATTGTAGACATTACCAGTAACGTCCGACCTTTATGAACATTGAACCCTGTGTAACAGAGGGGAGCTGGGGTCCTGGCGCACTCTATACAAGCCACCCCCCTCCTCTGGGACAAGGGTTCGCACTTTTGTAAACTCACACACACATATACAATCCAGTCGACCGCCTCAGGGCACTGAGACGTAGGGCTGTTACTTCCTCCGAGAAGGGCCTGAACTCGTAAACTCGTGTGTACAACTACTCCATAGCTAAGATCTTGCCTCCTAATACCTACCCCCCATTCTACTGTCAGTCTTAGATCCATGACAGGCGGCGGGATCCGGTGGTCGTTGGCAGTCGGTGGAGGCTTCTGCGGCGGCCGGTGCGCGCGATCGGGTGCCTCCGCTCCTCCCCTGTTCGGCGTGCGGGCCAACCTGGTCGGGCCGCGCTTCCTCTTGGTCGCCGGTTCTGTACAGGAGGCGCTACTGGTGGTGGAGATCTAGTGGTCATGACGCCTCAGGGCGCCGTTCCCCTCCTTGGAGGCGTTGGTATGGACTGATCTCCTCACTTCACCTTCCCCTAGGTCTCCCGGGCAAAAGCCCTAACTTTGTTGGGCGGCGGCGGCGCTCACGGCCGTTCCCTTCTTGAAGGCGCCGCTTTGGGAACCTTGGGGTTGGGTGGCGCTTGTGGGTGGTGGGTGACGGCGGCGGTGTGGCCCTATCCTAGCATGGATTTACGTTCATTGCTTGGAGATGGACTCGCGTAGGTGGAGGTCATCGGCTGGCGTCGTGGTGGCGTCAATGGCGGAGGACCTGCCAAGGCTCGCGTAGGTGGAGATCGTCATTTGACGTCGTGGTGGCATCGATGGCGGAGGACCTGCCAAGGTTGTCACCTCAATCTGCTCTGAAGATGGACCAGTGGAAGACGGCGGCGACGACACATGTGAGTGCGTCGGACCGGTTTGAGCCGCAGACCTGGCAGATGGCTCGGTCGGGCCTCTGGCTTTAGATGTTAGGTTTAAGTGAGAGGTCTAGGCATGTGGCCCAGCTTGCACCCCTTCATCATTTCGATAGGAGTAGCGGCAAATGTTGCCAAGATGGCAAATTCAGGCATATTGTTGTTCTACTTTGTAAGATCCTTAAGAATAATTAATAAAATGGCCGCATGCATCTTCCAGATGTAGAGGTCGGGGGCCATCCTCCTTTTCCAAAAAAAATGTCTTTTTAGGTGTCCATAAGTTTTATTATATAACAAACACAAACACTGCAACATGTGTTGAAGAAAAAATTTAGTGTTTTAAAAACTAGTCGGTTTAGAGCGCAGATTGATCACAACAAATGGAAGTACTTCACCAATTTTGACCGTAGATAGAAGATACAGACATGTATGTTTTCAAGAAATTACAAATGAACATGATCTTTTTTTGTTGTTATTGTTCATTCGGGAGCATATGCTTTGGAAGCCTATGGTGTTCTGTTGCTATTGTAAAGGCGTTGAAGCTTTTTTGAAAAGGAGGCTTGTGTTCAACTTGGTCCTGCAAAATAAATAGACATAAATGTTTCGGGGCATCTATTCATCAGGTGGCTAAAAGAATTTAAGTTCCAGTCAATTGTGTTTTTACCATTACATCATCATCCAAGGGTCATCCCTCGCGGTGCAGTGTTCTGCTTCCTCCCCGCGACATACGTTTGGACAACCCTAGACTTACGTAAGGAAGGTACTTACGTTTACGTAATAGTCATCGTGAAAGATTAGGATTGGTTTTTAGGGGAGGCTGAGGCCCACCTCCATAAAAATCAGGACGAATGTTTAGATAAGTTTGACATGTTTCATAAATTTACGTAGGCTTTTCGTAGGTTTATCACATGCGTTTTGTTTCTCCACACGCTATCGATCCCCGCGTGCCTAACCGCAACCCATTGTCGTGACACATCGCCCAGGGCGTCCCTCTAACCTTCCCACCTCATGTTCTTCTGCCGCGCCGGCAGCCCCCTTCCCCCGCGCACCCGAACTTGTCAACCCTCGGACTCTCCTGTCCGAGGCCTTGCCGGCGTTCCAGTGCCTTGCTTCGCTCGCCGCAGCGTCGATGTCTTCGCCTCCGTGCTTCATATAAATCGATTGCGCGTAAGAAATTTTGAGGTGCCTGGTGTTTAGCAAAACCGAAATGTTTTCACTTGTTGTGTGAAATCATTCCAAGGAAAAGACTAATGCTATTTTGTTGTGTTCTTGCAGCCAAGTTTTTTTTAGGGAGCACAGTCGAGTTGAATCATTACACGGCTAATGCCAAGCCCAAATCTCAGTCAGCTGCGGGGGGTAACTAAACCGGACACTTGTTTGCCTCTCCCTGTTCCATGCAAACTGACCCACACATCTCCACTCTATACGTCTCTCTTGAAAAGTTCTCCCCTATATAAAACCCACATGCGCTTCGCTTCCGATTTTCACACTGGTAAGGATTTCGGAGCAGATCTTCCAAGAGTACAGATGATCAAGGCGCCCACCTCCTCGCCCTTGGCCGCGGCCGCCGCCGTGCTCGTCGTCGTGTCGGCGTGGGGCGCGGACGCGACGATCGAGACCACGTGCAGGGACGCAGGGGCGGGCGACCGGCGCGTGGACGTCGCGTTCTGCGTGCGCCAGTTCTTGGCGTACGAGGGCGCGGCGGAGGCGGATACGTGGGGCCTGGCAAAGACGGCCGTGCTCATCGGCATCAACCTCGCCGACGACGCCATCTTCGACCTCACCCACGGGAAGATCCTCCCAGAGCCCAAGGACAAGAAGGCCGAGGCGGCCATGGACGCGTGCGTGAAGGCGTACGACAAGGTGGGCCTGGCCTTCGCGGAGGCTTCCGACGAGCTCAGGGCGCGCCGGTACCCGGCGGCCAAGGAGGAGATGGCGAGCGTCGCGCCGCTCCTGCAGCGGTGCGACGGCGGGCTCGTCAAGGTCGGGCTCCCGTCGCCGCTGCCCAGGTACAGCGCCGACTGCCTGCAGACGACCATCATTGGCATCGCCATAACCAACCTCGTCAAGTGATGCACGCATGCGTCGAACACATGTGGTTCTTCTTCGCGTGTGATAAAGCTCCAATAGTGTATAGTGTCCTAGTCTGTCTTTTTTATAGAAATCTAATAAAAAGGGGCAATTCGTATGCTTGGTTAAATTTAGAGCCTTAGACTGTCAATTTTCTACTCTTCAAATGGTTATATAATGTCCACCCGCAAAAAAAATGGTTATATATTGTTCTAAAAAATTGGTTATATATCCGTATTAAACCTTTTTTAGAAATTATCTTAAACTGCACTTTTTTATAATCAATACCTTGATATATTTATAGTACCAAATTTACAACATGCATGAGCTGATTGCGGCGATTACAAAAGAAAGTCTAAAAGAAAAAAGCATATCTTTGAGATCTTCAGGCTCTTTCTTCTTTCATGACACAATCTTGTATTTTTTTAAGGCAGCCATAGAAAAATAACAAAGATATTAAACCGTGGAGCTGTAAATACTTATAAGGGTTCTCCCATAGCTTTAATTTGAGCCAACGTCGGCAAGAGTACCAACACTGGTATTTCAGGAAAAAAAAACACAACCAGATCGATGTCGTTGTGAGCCGAGAGTACGAATCACCATTGTCAAGGACGTAGCAGTCGGGACAGATATTGCAAGGACAATCCTCCTCGTGGTGACCATGAGAAAAAAAATATCCAAAATCGATCTGGTGAAGAAAGATCTGAAGGATCATACGTAGACAAATTTAATCTTCCAACACCACCATTAACTTGCGGAAGGAGATCTCGTCATGAAACGAAGGGACGAAGATTACTTATTATAGATGATGCCATCTTCAAAGAAGATGAAGACGACTACCATCATCCTAAACCAATCTAATGAAAACGCTACTATTATTAAGAAATTCACTCATAAATCGGGTTCCCTCCCACTCCAGCATCAGCGAGGCCCGCCGAAGAAAGGGGAACTGATCTTCTTCCCTGATGAAGGTTGCCGTGTTCATCATGCAAGCCACCCTTGCCCATGCAGTGTCAAAGGACACTTTGGCGGAGGCCAGACATGCACGCAGCATAGCTTTCTCCTAGATAACGGCAAGCAGGGCATCCAAGTCTCTGCATGCTGAGGCACACATCTCCCAACAACTGCGCCCGGCTACATCTCTTCGTCCTCTCACACTTTATTTCCTACATGCCTTCGTCCTCCCTTGACATCACACGAACATCCATCAACCGACCACACCGAATCCATGACCCTAGACTCCTCCACCAAGTCCTTGAACATACCAATGACCTCACCATGTGTCATCTTCCTCCCAGGCAACCACACGCAACAGCAATGCCCCCTTCTTCTACCCCTAGCGAGCAGTTGCAGCCACTGTCACCCTCTCTCCAAATAGCAGCTGCTGCAACACACAACAGTTCAGCCAACCTCCACGCTCATCGCACCAACGACAAGCAGCAGCTTCAACCCCTGCTCGACATCACATCCATACCTCTTCCTCCCACGCAGCAACAACAATAGTAATATTCAGCAGCCACAGCAGCAGCATTAGCTATAACACCAGTAGCCTTCACGGGAGGGACACCACCACCTAGCCGCTCGCAATAGCTTCCGAGCAGCTAGCACAAGTCACAACACCTCGCACCTGTGCCGCCTAAGCTGCTCCAGTCGTTGCCCCCTCCCAGCCGCTGGCGCAGCTCCCCGCTAGCCGCCGCCGTGAGATGAGCCCCGCCGCTGATACCTCTCCAACGTATCTATAATTTTTGATTGCTCCATGCTATATTATCTACTGTTTTCGGCAATACTGGGCTTTATTATCCACTTTTATATTACTTTTGGGACTAACCTATTAACCGGAGGCCCAGCCCAGATTTGCTGTTTTATGCCTATTTCAGTGTTTCGAAGAAAAGGAATATCAAACGGAGTCGAAACGGAACGAAATCAACTAGAGAAGTTATTTTTGGAAGGAAACACACCTGATGGACTTGGACCCCATGTTAGAAGATACTAGAGCTGCCCACGAAGGTGGGGGGGCGCGCCCACCCCCCTAGGGCGCGCCCCCTGCCTCGTGGGGCCCCCGTGGCTCCCCTAACGTGCTTCTTCTGCCTATATAACCCCATATACCCTAAAACATCCAAAACGCAATATAGATCGGGAGTTCCGCCGCCAGAAGCCTCTGTAGCCATCAAAAAACAATCTAGACCCGTTCCGGCACCCTGCCGGAGGGGGCAATCCTTCTCCGGTGGCCATCTTCATCATCCCGGTGCTCTCCATGACGAGGAGGGAGTAGTTCTCCCTCGGGGCTGAGGGTATGTACCAGCAGCTGTGTGTTTGATCTCTCTCTCTCTCTCTCTCTCTCTCTCTCTCTCTCTCGTGTTCTTGATTTTGGCACGATCTTGATGTATCGCGAGCTTTGCTATTATAGTTGGATCTTATGTTTCTCCTCCCCCTCTTCTCTCTTGTAATGAATTGAATTTTTCCCTTGAAGTGATCTTATCGGATTGAGTCTTTAAAGACTTGAGAACACTGATGTATGTCTTGCCGTGGATATCTGTGGTGACAATGGGATACCACGTGCCACTTGATGTATGTTTTGATGACCAACTTGCGGGTTTCGTGACATTGGGAACCTATGCATAGGGGTTGGCACATGTTTTCGTCGTGATTCTCCGGTAGAACTTTGGGGCACTCTTTGAGGTCCTCTGTGTTGGTTGAATAGATGAATCTAAGATTGTGTGATGCATATCGTATAATCATGCCCACGGATACTTGAGGTGACATTGGAGTATCTAGGTGACATTAGGGTTTTGGTTGATTTGTGTCTTAAGGTGTTATTCTAGTACGAACTCTAGGGCTGTTTGTGACACTTATAAGAATAGCCCAACGGATTGATTGGAAAGAATAACTTTGAGGTGGTTTCGTACCCTACCATAATCTCTTCGTTCGTTCTCCGCTATTAGTGACTTTGGAGTGACTCTTTGTTGCATGTTGAGGGATAGTTATGTGATCCAATTATGTTAGTATTGTTGAGGGAACTTGCACTAGCGAAAGTATGAACCCTAGGCCTTGTTTCAACGCATTGCAATACCGTTTACGCTCACTTTTATCATTAATTACCTTGCTGTTTTTATATTTTCAGATTACAAAAAATATTATCTACTATCCATATTGCACTTGTATCACCATCTCTTCGCCAAACTAGTGCACCTATACAATTTACCATTGTATTGGGTGTGTTGGGGACACAAGAGACTCTTTGTTATTTGGTTGCAGGGTTGCTTGAGAGAGACCATCTTCATCCTACGCCTCCTATGGATTGATAAACCTTAGGTCATCCACTTGAGGGAAATTTGCTACTGTCCTACAAACCTGTGCACTTGGAGGCCCAACAACGTCTACAAGAAGAAGGTTGTGTAGTAGACATGAAGCTCTTTTCTGGCGCCGTTGCTGGGGACGTCAGTGCTTGAAGGTATATCTTTAGATCTTGCAATTGAGTCTTTTAGTTTCTTGTTTTATCACTAGTTTAGTTTATAAAAGAAAACTATATAAAAAATGGAATTGAGTTTGTTTCATACGCTTCACCTTTTTAATATCTTTCGTGAGTATGATGGAAAGGATAATTGTGCTCAAGTGCTAGAAGAAGAAATCTATAGAATGTTTGGCACTAAATATTTGAATGATGAGCATGACTGCATTGTTGTTAGTATGAATTCCTTGAATATCCATGATGCTAATGATATGCAAAGCCACAAGCTTGGGGAAGCTATGTTTGATGAAGATGATATTTGTTGCCCCCCAAGCTTTGATGAGCAAATTTACTATGATGAAAGCATGCCTCCTATCTATGATGATTATTGATGGCTTGTATGCTATAAAGAATAATGATATCCATGAAACTTGTCATCATGATTTTAGTTTTCAATTGGATTATGCCTCACATGATAATTATTTTGTTGAGTTTGCTCCCACTACTATTCATGAGAAGAATTTTGCACATGTGGAGAGTAATAAAAATTCTATGCTTGTAGATCATGAAAAGAATGATTTAGGTGCTGGTTATATTGTTGAATTCATTCATGATGCTACTGAAAATTATTATGAGGGAGGAATATATGCTTGTAGGAATTGCAATAATATCAAGTTTCCTCTCTATGTGCTTAAAGTTTTGAAGTTATGCTTGTTTTGCCTTCCTATGCTAATTGATTATTGTTCCCACAAGTTGTTTGCTCACAAAATACCTATGCATAGGAAGTATGTTAGACTTAAATGTGCTAGTTATATTCTTCATTATGCTCTCTTTATGTTTCTATTCTTATCCTTTATGTGAGCATCATTGAAATCATCATGCCTAGCTAGGGGCGTTAAACGATAGCGCTTGTTGGGAGGCAACCCAACTTTATTTTTGTTCCTTTATTTTTGTTCCTGTTTAGTAATAAATAATTCATCTAGCCTATGTTTAGATGTGGTTTTATGTGTTTAATTAGTGTTTGTGCCAAGTAGAACCTTTGGGAAGACTTGGGAAAAGTCTTGTTGATCATGCTGTCAAAAACAGAAACTTTAGTGCTCACAAGAATTGCTGCCAATTTTATTTGGAGAGTGCTATTTAGTTAATTATTTTTGAAAATGATTAATAGATAAATTACTCAGGTCCAGAAATTTATTTGAGAATTTTATGAGTTTCATAAGTATACGTTTGATCCAGATTACTACAGACTGTTCTGTTTTTGACAGATTCTGTTTTCGACGTGTTGTTTGCTTATTTTGATGAATCTATGGCTAGTAAAATAGTTTATAAACCATAGAGAAGTTGGAATACAGTTGGTTTAACACCAATATAAATAAAGAATGAGTTCATTACAGTACCTTGAAGTGGTCTTTTGTTTTCTTTCGCTAACGGAGCTCACGAGTTTTCTACTTTAAGTTTTGTGTTGTGAAGTTTTCAAGTTTTGGGTAAGGATTCGATGGACTATGGAATAAGGAGTGGAAAGAGCCTAAGCTTGGGGATGCCCGAGGTACCCCAA